GCCGCCGCCCGCCGCGAGCCCGGCCGCCTGCAGCGCGGCGACCTGCTCGAGGTGCCGCGCACGCTCTTCATCCACTTCGGCATCTACCTGGGCGACAACCGCGTCGCCCACCTCATGCCCGACATCCTGCCCGCCTTCACCGACGACCGCCGCCAGATCGAGCGGGTGGTGACCAACAAGCGGCTCGTGCTGGGCGTCCTCGCCAAGATGGCCAGCATCCGCGTGGACAGCGTGGAGGACTTCGCCTACGGCGGCAGCGTCCTCGTCAACCACATGGACCGGCTCTTCAAGGACCGCGTGCTGGGCAGCGAGGAGGCGGCGCGCCGCGCCGAGAAGCTCGTGGGCGCCACGGCCTACAGCCTGCTGTGGAACAACTGCGAGCACTTCGTCACCTACTGCCGCTACGGCGCCGCCGTCAGCCTGCAGACCGACCAGGTAGCGCCGGCGCCGCGGGCAGCGCAGGTGCGCGGCGGGGCGGCCCCGTGGGGCAGGGGCGGCCCCGTGGGGCGGCCCCGTGGGGCAGGGGCGGCCCCGTGGGGCGGGCGCGCGGGGCCCCGCGGCACCGTCCCCGCGCCACCGCGCGCTCTCCCGCTCTCTTGCAGTTCTGCGAGACGGTGAAGAGGATAATCCGCGACCAGAGGAGCGTGCTGGCCTCGGCGCTCGTGGGCCTCGCGTGCATCGTGTGCCTCGGCCCGGCGCCCTGCACCACGCTGCCCACCATCCTCGTGCCCTTCCTGCTGTGGATGGCGGGCTAGCCGCCCCGCGCAGCCCGCGCCTGTGCATAGCCTGTGTACTGCTGTATTTATGAGAGCACAGGGTACTTGTCAGCCTGGTGGAAAGCAGGATTTCCTAACCTTGTGTGCCCTTTTGTCTTTTTTTAAATACAACTTTTCCTCCAGCACAGTGCACGAGGAGTAGCTTACTGTGTAAGCCAAATGATAGATTTCCTGAAAATCTCGGCCGGTGCCTTTGAAGGCACCTCTAACGTCGTGCAGAAGCAGGGGTGCAGCGCAGGTCTGCCGCCTGCCTTCAGCCTTCAGCGATTCTCATAGTCTCTCGTGTGCTCTAATATTYTAACTGCCTACCTGGGTGTCTAAGCTGTTAATAAAAACGAATGATGGAGTACCGTGAAGTGACGGCTATTGAGAACAAACCACTACTTAGTTGTGTGCATATACTTTATATTCAGAAGTTACTGCTTTTATTGCTAAAATGTGCTGTAATGGAAATAGAAGTGACTAAATTGACTCTTCATAATGGAAAAGAAAAAGCTCCAGCYTGAGCAGTCTGTGCCTAGTAACACATTTGGCTGGATCAGATACTCTCTTTTGGGTTCCCTTCTGGGAGACGTTTGCAAATCTCTTTTTTCATGTTAATTTTGTAGACACTTGCTACTGTATTTAACAACAACTTGATTGGATTAGCAGTAGGGAAAGTCTGCAATTTCTTAGCCTTTTGCTTGTTAATAATAGCTGTCAGTATAGCTAATATAAATGACTATGGGGGAGCGGGTAGGGAGATACAGGAGGAAACCAATTTCCTTTGTGAAAGCTGCAACATAAAAACCATGGCGAATTCCCAGTGTTCCAGGGCACAGGGAGTTGGGAGGAGAATGGAAGTCAATTTAGGTCTTATTGTCCTGCAGTAGCAGGACCCATGTGGATGCCTTAAAGCATCGGGGATTGCTGGAGCAGTTCCAGTGGTCACAATAGTGTCATTTTGTGTACCACCTTAAAACGCCAATGCCTCTGCAAAATAAGATACCTCTCTTTGCCAGTGAAAAAGCCATCACTTGCAAGCTAGCAGCTGGTGCTAAAATTAATCTTCAACGTTGAGGCTTTTTTAATCAAAGTATAAACTGATTTGATACCAACTTCATCKGGTCAAGTGTTTATTGAATATTGACTTYAGTGAATATTGCCTTTTTGTTTCCATTTTCTGCCCATTTTTAGAGTGAGACTCACTTCAACGGTACGATCAAACTCTTTCCCCCAGACCACACAGCTGTTGGAAGATTGTAAGCTTGAACTGTGAGTCTACTTGGCTGACTAATAATGTTTCTTCTTCTGGCTGCTCCGCTATAACCGGCAAAGAATGTAAAGACTGGGGTGAAATTCCTGTCTYTTTGAGAACAGCAGCTCTCCTGCTGCAGTCATTGACTGAGAGGGGGTTTCAGCCCAGCCTGCAGCACCGGTGCAGTTTGCAGCCCAGCTCCAGAGCAGTTGGCTATCAGCTGCCATTGGATGCTCACCAACAGCTCGTGTTCGGCTTTCAAAGATGGCAATGGTCTCTGTATCTGTCTCTGGTAAACTTTTAAGGTGTTTTGTTGAATAACATGAATTGCTTTTTCATAGTGTATTAATAATATTTACATAATTTCCAGTGTGTTTTTTTACTTGCTGTACAGAAGGTATCAATTGTAGCCACTACTGTAATTATATAAATGGAATTATTAATTTTCAAATGTCTGCCTGCCTCTTGAAACTGAGTATAATGTTATAGCCTTTCTCTAATATATTGCAATAGGACTCTGAGTAACCCATTGCCACACGGTTCCGTGGTGTCTGATTGCAGGTGGGCTTTGCTTTTCCCCCTCTATTTACTTGAAAGTTACTAGAATTCCAGTAATTCATGTGAATCATTTATACAGTAAACAAGGGGGTCATGACTGTTAACCAGATCATAAGCAGTACTGGAAGGCCTGGAAATGCTGTTCTCTRGCTTCTAGGAGGTATCAAAGGGCCAATATCGCTGCTTTGCTAGTGATGTTGAGGAGGAAGCGCCCAAGTTAGGCTGGGGGGCAAAGCTGGGACTTCGAGAGGTGCCAGTATGACAGAAATGAAACCAGTTCCTTGCAGACCTCCGGCTGCATTAGTGAAAGGAAATCCTCTAAAGTGTGGACTTTAAGGAGCTTACAAAATACCCGAGAAACAGTCTAGAATGTCCTACTATATCCTTTCATTAGTGGTAAGTAGTAGAGGTAAATGGGGACAACATGGGCTGTATTTTAAGATTTTTTTTTTTTTTTTCGTACCAGCTCCCGTTCTAGCAGAGACATGGAAAATTTTTAGTTAAGAGTCAAGCATGAGTCAAATCAGTCATATTCATAGAGAAAAATAAGTCTAGCAGGCATGAATTCTCATGTTCAGCTCAGCGGGTGGTATTTTGCTCTGAAATATTTTGGTAAATGTCAATGTCAGCTTTTTTTTTTAATTATTTTTTACTTTTTTCCCTGTAATGAGCTGAGTAAAAATAACTACTTTTTGTAGGTGGAGCATGGCATTTCAGACAAGCTCAACTATGATGCCGCTGAAGTGAAGGAGCTAGTTGTAAAGGAAAACCACTGGAAACTGGAGCAGGAGAGCTGTTTGGAAATGGGTGTGTTCAGAAGTGAYGCTGCTCATTGGTAACTGGGAGTGGTGGTGAGTGTAAACCTGGAGCTGCGCTTCAGTGCTCGGGCTGTTCGGAAAAATYGGTTAAACCCGAGTGTGTAATGGAAGAATACAACCACCACCACTGTGCTCCTGGGAACTGCAAGCAGTGAAGAAATCGGGCTAAAAGGATAGATGTTTCACATCTTTCCAAAGAAAACAGAAATAAAACGGCCGCTTACAATACCAGTAATGTTTTCACAAAAACTCTTTTTTTTTCTTTTTAAGAAAAAGTGTTGCTAAATGAAGAGATTAGAGCGTTGAACTGTTGTATTTTTTTTTGGTTTGCAATGTAAATAATGGGTCGTTTTGTGTCTGCACAGTCATCTTCTGTTTGATTTCACCTTTGGGTCCTCCTGTGCTGAAGGAGAATGCTGCATAGAAATATCATGGAGGCTTTTGGTAGAAACGAAATCATAGCAAGACTAGGTAAAGTCTGAGGGGGAGGGAAGAAGGAATTAGACTTGTGTGCGACCTGACACCATCCGGGCATGTTTCAGAAAGCAAGCTGTCGCAAGAAGCAGCATTACAACTGTGATCTCTGCAAATGATACGGTGTTGTATTCTACATTGCATGTTCTCACAGTAAATAAAGTGTGGCACAACACTGAATGATACATCACCGGGTTAGTCACTAGAATCCCTCTTTTCTATTTAAAAAAAGAAAAGTTTTCAGGTGACTGTAGGAGCCAGTTACTAGTTGTGTTTTATGACAGCTTCGGGCTTGATCTCTCTAAGCAGTTAGAGGCAGATTTACTCTTGTGAAGTTATGATACAGAAACTTACAGGTCTGTGGCTCTTTGCTGTAGTGTGTTGTGCTTTCCCTTACAGGAATCTGACAAAAGGGACCATTTTCTCCCCTGTAGGAATAGATCAAGGGAAATACATGAGGCTGCTTTTGGTAGCGACCTCTTTAACTAGATTCTGAGCTCTTAAGTTACCATGGCATAACCTAACTTCTGAAGTAAAGGGTACGTTTACATAGGGGTCTTCAGTACCTGAATGGGAATAGCAATACCGCTGTTCACACATGTGCAAATGCTAATTATTTATATTTAAAAATGTAAAAAGTGGAATGGTTGTGGARCTTCTGGGGATGTGGGAGGCCTGGTTCCTAGATGCTTCTCCATCTGGGAGGACTGTGCCCTTCCAGGAGACTCACTGGCCCTTTTGCCCTTTTCTAACCTTACCTCTTGCTCCAGGACCGTGTCTATTGGACTCTTCTATGAAGTCAGTCAATACTTAGGCTCTCAGTTTGGGACAGGAAATGTCACCTTGACCAACTGAGTCAAACCCAGTTTGGACTCTGTGTACCAGGCCCCTGAGGACCCTCACCGCTGCTGCTCAYGTCTGTGGGCCCCAAGGAGGTTCTGAGTGCGAGGTAAACCTCATGTTTCTCCATGAATCACAGCACCAAAACTGGGATCTTTTTGACTTTGACACATCACAAGCTGCAGTCATTCACGAAATTTCCAGGTAAAAATACAAAATCCGCTCAGGTTAGATCAAAGGTTTGGTATTTTGGTGTACTGTTACTTTACTCAAAGTGGGAGGTACTGACTGCRCCTCTTTAACTGTTGCCTTTAGTTTCTCGTTTTTTATTTCCCCTTTCTGTAGCTGGGATGATAATCATCTCCCTACACTCTGGCCAACTACAAGACTTGGCTAGTATTTGCATAAGGTTGTGGGTTCGTTGTGTTCAATGCATGAGCAAATACAACACAAGGTTCCTTACCAGAAGACATTTTCTTCTTTTTTTTTTCTCYTTTTTTCCTGAAGAAAACGAAGTACCTGTGAGGCTAAGGAGGTATACTACTTTATGTAACTAAAACCATGGGCAAATGAAGATGCATTCTGCTAAACTTGTTGGGCTACCTAAGGCTTCTGCATAGTTTTATGCCCAACATGGATGTGGACCTGCGATCCTTGCAGGATGTGCTGTGGACCTGCACATTTCCATCTAGCACTGCATAGAGATGCAGGGAAGGGTGGGTCTGCTGCTGCCACACCACAGGGAAAGTAAGATAGTAATTTAATAGAAAGTGAAGAAACGTGGGTGTGAATATAATGAGAGGTCTCCTGTACCCCTGGCAGAAAGATTAAAGTTAGATATTAAGCACGTTAAGTTTTGCCATTGATGTCTGCAGAGAAGATGGTACTTAACTTCCAGCAAATTCCCAGGAGGAGGGAGGCACCTGGTTTCAACCACATTCACGCAGAACCCGTCTGCACGGTGCACAGTGCAAGTAGCCTGCAGCTAACGATGGCTTGGTTGCCTCCAGAGCTAGAAACAGCGCATGTGAAACACAGCACTGCACTCAGCCCTAGGGACCAAGGCTGCTTGGTTGAGGACCATGCTACTACAGCTCAGTTGCTCCTGAGCATGCACTAGTATCACCTCGTGATCCCGTCCTGTGTTCTGTAGTCATACCGACTTGCCTTAAGCCAAAGCTTTGGAGTTTGTGCTTTCAGCCATGCAGACATTCCCCAAACTGCTCAAGCCCCATCCCAAGCCCCACATTCTCCATTTACACAGGTTCCAGCTCAGCTGGTTTCTGAGGAGTCCTTCCTGAGGTGTCCCTGGCTTTAGGAGAGGAGCCTGAGGGCTGAGGATCACCCCAGGCTTTGCTTGCCATGCCTCACGTGCACCTGGAGATGTGGTCTGTGCTGCTCATGGTCACCCAGCCATGCTCCGCTGCTCCATCTTGCATAAAGCCTGGGTCTACGTAAAACTCAGCTCCTTTGCGACTCCAAATGTGTCATACACCAGGATATGGCCTTGAGAAACGCAGACAGGAGTCACATCTCTTCACCTAGTGCAGCAGCCATTTAGCACTGACAGTCACATGGCAATGATCCCATTKTATTTTTTAACTATTACTCCCAGTTTTGGGAGCACATAGTACTGCTTCAGTTGCACCGTACGTAYGACCCATCTATTCTTGTTCTAAAATAGCTGGTTGTGCAGCTTGATCATTTATTTAACAGACAGGGATTGGACTGGGAATGGGATTCCTGGGAATAGTCTTTTCAGAAACTTGCCTGGAGAAAGCAGTATAATTTGTTCTGTAATAATTCTACTTGGCTAATATATTGAAATTCCAATGAGGAAGGGAGCGTTTCTATTTCTGATGTCTTTGATGAATTCCAGTAAATCTAACACTGTTAAAGCATAGACAGTTGTACAGGAAGTAGACYTGATACAGAATCATGAAATGTGTTTCAAAACTATAATGAAGTTTCTATGACTCGTAAAGAGGTTTTTTTATTATTATTATTATTTTTTTAAACTTAGTACCCACCCAAACCAGTTACAGAAATTACTTTCCCTCCATAGCTTTGGTGCTTGCATTGTTCAGTTTGGGGAGCATTTGCCTTAAGGAGCTCTTTCTCTCAGACCGTACTCAATCCTGCAATTAAATGCAAACCTTTGCAACAACAGTCTGTTGTTATGGGAAGGACACTCAATTAGTGACATATTAATTGTAAACTTGCTGTGTAATTGAGCAGGAAGAGAAAATGGGATAGGAGCAAGATACCTGCTTGTGGACAAAATATTTGATCCTGCTTAAACTCGTAAGGTAAATTATATTAAAAAAATAWATAGAAGAACAATATTCACTGTGCAACCCCCCTGTCTTCAAAACTGCCCTGTTAGGACAGATTCTCAGCAGTTA